AGGTATAGGTGGTATAGGAAGTATAGATGATGTAGGAGGGTATAGGTGGTATAGGAAGTATAGATGAGGTAGGAAGGTATAGGTGGGTTAGGAAGTATAGATGATGTAGGAGGGTATAGGTGGTATAGGAACTATAGATGAGGTAGGAAGGTATAGATGAGGTAGGAGGGTATAGGTGGTATAGAAAGTATAGATGATGTAGGAAGGTATAGGTGGTATAGGAAGTATAGATGATGTAGGAGGGTATAGGTGGTATAGGAAGTATAGATGATGTAGGAAGGTATAGGTGGTATAGGAAGTATAGATGATGTAGGAGGGTATAGGTGGTATAGGAAGTATAGATGATGTAGGAGGGTATAGGTGGTATAGAAAGTATAGATGATGTAGGAAGGTATAGGTGGTATAGGAAGTATAGATGATGTAGGAGGGTATAGGTGGTATAGGAAGTATAGATGAGGTAGGAAGGTATAGGTGGGTTAGGAAGTATAGATGATGTAGGAGGGTATAGGTGGTATAGGAACTATAGATGAGGTAGGAAGGTATAGATGAGGTAGGAGGGTATAGGTTGTATGGAAAGTATAGATGATGTAGGAGGGTATAGGTGGTATAGGGAGTATAGATGAGGTAGGAAGGTATTGGTGGGTTAGGAATTATAGATGATGTAGAAGGGTATAGGTGGTATAGAGTAACTATAGATGAGGTAGGAAGGTATAGATGAGGGAGGAGGGTATTGGTGGTATAGGAAGTATAGATGATGCAGGAGGGTATAGGTGGTATAGAAAGTAGAAGATGAAGGTATTGGTGGGTTAGGAAGTATAGATGATGTAGAAGGGTATAGGTGGTATAGGAAGTATAGATGAGGTAGGAAGGTATTGGTGGGTTAGGAAGTATAGATGATGTAGAAGGGTATAGGTGGTATAGGAACTATAGATGAGGTAGGAAGGTATAGATGAGGTAGGAGGGTATTGGTGGTATAGGAAGTATAGATGATGTAGGAGGGTATAGGTGGTATAGAAAGTAGAAGATGATGTAGGAAGGTATAGGTGGTATAGGAAGTATAGATGATGTGGGAAGGTATAGGTGGGTTAGGAAGTATAGATGATGTAGGAGGGTATAGGGGGTATAGGAAGTATAAATGAGGTAGGAAGGTATAGGTGGTATAGGAAGTATAGATGACGTAAGAAGGTATAGGTGGTATAGGAAGTATAGATGGTGTAGGAGGGTATAGGTGGTATAGGAAGTATAAATGAGGTAGGAAGGTATAGGTGGGTTAGGAAGTTTAGATGATGTAGGTGGGTATAGGTGGTATAGGAACTATAGACGAGGTAGGAAGGTATAGATGAGGTAGGAGGGTATAAGTGGTATAGGAAGTATAGATGACGTAAGAAGGTATAGATGGGTTAGGAAGTATAGATGATGTAGGAGGGTATAGGTGCTATGTGAAGTGAAGGTGACGTATGAAGGTATAGAAAGTAAAGGTGACGTAGGATGATATAGGTGGTTTAAGAGGGTATAGATGATGTAGTAGGGTATAGGTGGTATAAGAGGGTTTATATGATGTAGGAGGGTATTGGTGGTTATAGGAAGTATATGTGATGTAGGAGAGTATAGGTGGTATAGGAAGTATAGATGAGGTAGGAAGGTATAGGTGGGTTAGGAAGTATAGATGAGGTAGGTGGGTATAGGTGGTATAGGAACTATAGATGAGGTAGGAAGGTATAGGTGGTATAGGAAGTATAGATGATGTAGGAGGGTATAGGTGCTATAGGAAGTATAGATGAGGTAGGAAGGTATAGGTGGGTTAGGAAGTATAGATGACGTAAGAAGGTATAGATGGGTTAGGAAGTATAGATGATGTAGGAGGGTATAGGTGCTATGTGAAGTGAAGTTGACGTATGAAGGTATAGAAAGTAAAGGTGACGTAGGATGATATAGGTGGTTTAAGAGGGTATAGATGATGTAGTAGGGTATAGGTGGTATAAGAGGGTTTATATGATGTAGGAGGGTATTGGTGGTTATAGGAAGTATATGTGATGTAGGAGAGTATAGGTGGTATAGGAAGTAAAGGTGATGTAGAAGGTTATTGTGGTATAGGATGTTAAGGTGACGTAGGAATGTATAGAAAGTATAGGTGATGTAGGAGGGTATAGGTAGTATGGGAAGTAAATGTGATGTAGGAGAGTATAGGTGGTATATGAAGTAAAGATGATGTAGGATGGTAAATGTGGTATAGGAAGTTATAGGGGGTTAAGGAAGTAAAGATGACGTAGGAGGGTTTAGGTGGTATAGGAAGAATAGATGAGGTAGGAAGGTATAGGTGGGTTAGGAAATATAGGTGATGTAGGAGGGTAAAGGTGGTATATGAAGTTAAGGTGACGCATGAAGGTAAAGAAAGTAAAGGTGACGTAGGATGGTATAGGTGGTGTAAGAGGGTATAGATGATGTAGAAGGGTATAGGTGGTATAGTAGGTAAAGGTGATGTAGGAGGGTATAGGTTGTATAGGAAATAAAGGTGATGTGATAGGTATAGGTAGTATATGAAGTAAAGCCGATATAGGTAACGTATAGGTGATGAAGGAAGGTATATGTGGTTTAGGAAGTATTGATGATGAAGAAGGGTATAGGTGGTATAGGACGTATAGTTACTGTAAAAGGGTTTATAGGTGATATGGGAAGTATAGATGATATAGGATGGTATAGATGGTAAAGGAAGTAATGGTACATTAATACAGCAATTGAGCTTTCTTTATGAATTGATATACTACAGCTTATACATTTCTAGAAGGATTTTATATAATAACAATGTTTCAATCCGCTGAGGTATAGAAAAGAGATTGAGAATATCTAAGTATAATTCGAATTCGACATCGATAACTAGAGAAAAATATGAACCTGAGGAATATTAGCAAAGACTTTTTTGGTTGTTTAACTTGACATAACTTGACGTGATTCAGTCCTAATGTATCCACAAAATTGGAAATCTGGAATGGTGATCCCGTCCCTGATTAGCAGTTATGTAGTAAGTCCCGGAAAGCTTAGAAACAAGTCATTGCATGTAATCTTCCTACATAGCTTGTACTTATTTTGAAAAAGTTTATATCTGCTATATCGTAATCCATAAAGGGTACATACTGGTTTATATCGGTATTAATCGACGTGTCCAGTACACAAACCAACAGCTACGACGTTGACACGTGCCTCAGGTATGGAGGTGCTATTTTGTATAGTATTCAAGCGGTTCCGGATTATTTTGCACGGTTACTAGTTTACCATGTAATACACAATAAAATACGTATTAATGTATCTCACAAGAAAATTACATAATGGGGAATATTGTCTGCGAATACAAATCGAAATATAAAAGTTTACTTGTATCAAAACTGTAAATGTCTCATGATATAGCCGTTGCTGTTTTCCGTAAAGCGACACAGATTTAGTTACAAATATAGAGATGATTTGATGGTATTTTTTCAAACGCCTTTTATAAATTGTATTCGGGTTGACCACCCCAGCAGTGTTTCATTCCTCCAACCGTTTTTCACACACGTACCTAGTACTCTCGTGTACATCGGGGATCTTAAACAATCGCTACAACTATCGGAGCGGTCCGTCCGGCTTTTTAACTAACATGGAGGACAAGGTAAACAAAGTTTTAATTGAATCTTGAAAAAATCGGAATGTAGGTCCCGTTCGTTAGACTTTGTCCATTCAAATTGACGTGGATGACGAATTTCATTTTGGATTAAAATGCCCCCATCAACGAGTCTAGAGGCAGAGACGGAAACAACGGTGGGGTTCAAAAGTTTCGGGTTGTCTATATTTCCTCACTAATATTGCAGACAACAGGAAATGTCAACTAGACTTAATGTCCGGAGTGAGGTTTTAATGTATTTAATCATAGTGAAATAATTATAAGCATCACTATGTTTCCATTGTACAAGTTATGCTTCATATATTAAAAAACTATTAACATTGAAGAAACCTAAAAAATTGTACTCAAAATCTGTCCCGGGTGATACCGACGAAATTCTTCAATTTACATCTAGAGCCACATAAAAAAGTTCGTACCTTTGGCGTAAGGACCACAACACAGAAGAGATCACTTCCAAAAACTACCCCGGCCATCCCCTTTTAAAATCCTTTAACAAGAGACATATATACTATAATATAATTGATTGATTGATTGATTGATAGGTTTTACGTCCGCTTCACTACCGAGTTACTATACTATAGTGTATGTACTGAGTATATACTGGTTTTATACGCTCTGTTTGAACCGCCCGATGTTTATTTTTAAAATATTTTTTTTTTAAACAAAGTGTCTGATCAGAGACGTATACGTTCCTGGTCTGACGTGCTGACAAAAAAACGGTAGCTGAATCTTAATAAGAGTCAGTACAGATTGATCAATGCTATTTTGATACATTAACTATACACATGTATGTGATCAATGCTATTGTGATACATTAACTATACACATGTATGAGATCAATGTTATTTTGATACATTAACCATACACTTGTATGTGATCAATGCTATTTTGATACATTGACCATACACATGTATGTGATCAATGATATTTTGATACATTAACCATACACATGTATGTGATCAATGCTATTTTGATACGTTAACTATACACATGTATGTGATCAATGATATTTTGATACATTAACCATACACATGTATGTGATCAATGCTATTTTAATACATTAACCATATACATGTATGTGATCAATGTTATTTTGATACATTAACCATACACTTGTATGTGATCAATGTTATTTTGATACATTAACCATACACATGTATGTGATCAATGCTATTTTGATACACTGAACAATATAAGAAACGTTGATGCATTATGGGGTCTAACACTGCCTCGATAGGCCTCCTGCTCATTGGGCCGTAAGTTAAGATAATGCTTTCAATTCTTAGCTACAAGAACATGTATAGATTGCAAGTGTGACCTATGTGTGGAAAAATACGTAATGTTAGATATGCTACCACGTGACCTAACCTGATAACCGACATTGGCTTCCTTCCATAAGGCAGGTATATTTATGTAGATATACTTTAATTTGCTTACAGTTCTATATTTTCTTGTCTTTATAAAGCTCTTGATACGTTATCAAACAATTTCTGAATTGACTGTAATTATTATTGTTGTTGTTTCCGTGTCCGATATTGTGTATCCTAAATATCGTAGGTGTTGTACAAACCAGCCTTACTCATTGTATCAATATCACAGAGTCTGGTGTATGTGGTCGATCTCGATGTCTTACCATTTGTTGTGGCGTTCTTCTCGATTAATCTTGTCGTTCCATTCAAGTTATTTCCTATCGAATGCGTAATATATAAGATTCAAAATTGATCAAGAAATGTATACATGAAAGTATTGGGCACGTGATTCAGGACGTCAGTTACATTTGTGAGTTGTAAGTATGACGTACGTGATTCAGGACGTCGGTTTACATTTGAATTATAAGTATGACGTACGTGATTCAGGACGTCAGTTATACTTGTGAATTGTAAGTATGACGTACGTGATTCAGGACGTCGGTTTACTTTTGAATTATAAGTATGACGTTCATGATTTAGGATATCGGCTATACTTGTGAATTATAAGTATGACGTAGGTGATTCAGGTCGTTGATTATATTTATGAACCATAAGTATGACGTACGTGATTCAGGACGTCGGTTATAGTTGTGAATTATCAGTATGACGTATGTGATTCAGAACGTCCGTTATACTTGTGAGTTGTAAGTATATACTTGTGAATTATAAGTATGACGTATGTGATTCAGAATGGCGGTTATACTTGTGAATTATAAGCATGACGTACGTGATTCAGGACGTCGGTCATACTTGTGAATTATACGTATGACGTACGTGATTTAGAATGCCAGTTATAGCTGTGAATTATAAGTATGTCGTACGTGATTCAGAACGTTGGTAATACTTGTGAATTATAAGTATGACGTAGGTGAATCAGGTCGTTGATTATATTTATGAACTATAAGTATCACGTACGTGATTCAGAACGTTGGTTATACCTGTGAATTATAAGTATGACGTACGTATTTCAGAACGTCGGTTATATTTGTGAATTATAAGTATGACGTACATGATTCAGAACGTCGGTTATATTTGTGAATTATAAATATGACGTACGTGATTCCGGACGTCGGTTATAGTTGTGAAATATAAGTATGACGTATGTGATTCAGAACGTCAGTAATACTTGTGAGTTGTAAGTATATACTTGTGAATTATAAGTATGACGTATGTGATTCAGAATGGCGGTTATACTTGTGAATTAAAAGTATGAAGTACGTGATTCATGACGTCGGTTATACTTGTGAATTATACGTATGACGTACTTGATTTAGAATGCCGGGTTTACTTGTGAATGATAAGTATCACGTACGTGATTCATAACGTTGGTTATACTTGTGAATTATAAGTATGACGTAGGTGATTCAGGTCGTTGATTATATTTATGAACTATAAGTATGACGTACATGATTCAGAATGTCGGTTATACTTGTGAATTATAAGTATCACGTACGTGATTCAGAACGTTGGTTATATTTGTGAATTATAAGTACGACGTACGTGATTCAGAACGTCGGTTATATTTGTGAATTATAAGTATGACGTACGTGATTCAGAACGTCGGTTATAGTTGTGAATTATCAGTATGTCGTACGTGATTCAGAACGTCGGTTATATTTGTGAATTATAAGTATGAGGTACGTGATTAAGAACGTCAGTTATACTTTTGAGTTGTAAGTATGACGTACGTGATTCAGGGCCTCGGTTATACTTGTGAATTATAAGTATGACGAACGTGATTCAGGGCCTCGGTTATACTTGTGGATTATAAATATGACGAACGTGATTCAGGACGTCAGTTTTACTTGTGAATTATAAGTATGACGTACGTGATTCAGAATGACGGTTATACTTGTGAATTATAAGTATCACGTACGTGATTCAGGACGTCGGTTATAATAGTGAATTATAAGTATGACGTACGTGATTCCTGACGTCGGTTATAATGTGAATTATAAGTATGAGTTACGTGATTAAGAACGTCAGTTATACTTTTGAGTTGTAAGTATGACGTTCGTGATTCAGGGCGTCGGTTACACTTGTGAATTATAAATATGACGTACGTGATTCAGGGCGTCGGTTATACTTGGGAATTATAAGTATGACGAACGTGATTCAGGGCCTCGGTTATACTTGTGAATTATAAGTATGACGTAAGTGATTCAGGGCCTCGGTTATACTTGTGAATTATAAGTATGATGTACGTGATTCAGGGCCTCGGTTATACTTGTGAATTATAACTATGACTTACGTGATTCAGGGCCTCGGTTATACTTGTGAATTATAAGTATGACGTACGTGATTCAGGGCGTCGGTTATACTTGTGAATTATAACTATGACTAACGTGATTCAGGGCCTCGGTTATACTTGTGAATTATAAGTATGACGAACGTGATTCAGGGTCTCGGTTATACTTGTGAATTATAAGTATGACGTAAGTGATTCAGGGCCTTGGTTATACTTGTGAATTATAAGTATGATGTACGTGATTCTGGGCCTCGGTTATACTTGTGAATTATAAGTATGACGAACGTGATTCAGGGTCTCGGTTATACTTGTGAATTATAAGTATGACGTACGTGATTCAGGGCCTCGGGTATACTTGTGAATTATAAGTATGACGTACGTAATTCAGAACGTCTGTTATATTTGTGATTGTAAGTATATACTTGTGAATTATAAGTATGACGTTCGTGATTCAGGGCGTCGGTTATACTTGTGAATTATAAGTATGACGTACGTGATTCAGGACGTCGGTTATACTTGTGAATTATAAGAATGACGTACGTTATTCAGAACGTCAGTTATACTTGTGAATTGTAAGTATATACTTGTGAATTATAAGTATGACGTTCGTGATTCAGAACGTCGGTTACTTGTGAATTATATGTATGACGTACTTGATTCAGAACGCCGGTTATACTTGTGAGTTGTAAGTATATACTTGTGAATTATAAATATGACGTACGTGATTCAGGGCGTTGGTTATAGTTGTGAATTGTAAGTATATACTTGTGAATTATAAGTATGACGTACGTGATTCAGGTCGTTGATTATATTTATCAACTATAAATATGACGTACCTGATTCATGACGTCGGTTTACTTGTGAGTAGTAAGTATGACGTATGTGATTCAGGACGTCGGTTATACTTGTGAATTATAAGAATGACGTACGTTATTCAGAACGTCAGTTAAACTTGTGAATTGTAAGTATATACTTGTGGATTATAAGTATGACGTACGTGATTCAGAACGTCAGTTATATTTGTGAATTATAAGTATGACGTATGTGATTCAGAATGTCGGCTATACTTGTGAATAATAAGTATTTACGTACGTGATTCAGGAAGTCAGTTATACTTGTGAGTTGTAAGTATATACTTGTGGATTATAAGTATGACGTACGTGATCCAGAACGTCAGTTATATTTGTGAATTATAAGTATGACGTATGTGATTCAGAATGGCGGTTATACAACATGTACTTGTGAATTATAAGCATGACGTACGTGATTCAGAACGTCGGTTATACTTGTTACTTATATGTATGACTTACGTGATTTAGAATGTCGGGTTTACTTGTTAGTTATAAGTATGACGTACGTGATTCAGAAGTAAGTTATACTTGTGAGCCGTATTTATATACTGTTGAATTATAAGTATAACGTTCCTGATTCAGAACGTCGGTTAATTGTGAATTATATGTATGACGTACTTGATTCAGAACGCCGGTTATACTTGTGAGTTGTAAGTATATACTTGTGAATTATAAATATGACGTACGTGATTCAGGGCGTCGGATTCAGGGCCTCGGTTATACTTGTGAATTATAAGTATGACGTACGTGATTCAGAACGTCTGTTATACTTGTTAATTATATGTATGACTTACGTGATTTAGAATGTCGGGTTTACTTGTTAGTTATAAGTATGACGTACGTGATTCAGAAGTAAGTTATACTTGTGAGCCGTATTTATATACTGTTGAATTATAAGTATAACGTTCCTGATTCAGAACGTCGGTTAATTGTGAATTATATGTATGACGTACTTGATTCAGAACGCCGGTTATACTTGTGAGTTGTAAGTATATACTTGTGGATTATAAGTATGACGTACGTGATTCAGGGATTCAGAACGTCCGTTATACTTGTGAGTTGTAAGTATATACTTGTGGATTATAAGTATGACGTACGTGATTCAGAACGTCAGTTATATTTGTGAATTATAAGTGTGACGTATGTGATTCAGAATGTCGGCTATACTTGTGAATAATAAGTATTTACGTACGTGATTCAGGAAGTCAGTTATACTTGTGAATTAAAAGTATTACGTACGTGATTCAGGACGTCAGTTATACTTGTGAGTTGTAAGTATATACTTGGTAAGTATATACTTGTGAATTATAAGTATGACGTTCGTGATTCAGAACGTCAGTTATATTTGTGAATTATAACTATGACGTATGTGATTCAGAATGTCGGCTATACTTGTGAATAATAAGTATTTACGTACGTGATTCAGGAAGTCAGTTATACTTGTGAGTTGTAAGTATATACTTGTGGATTATAAGTATGACGTACGTGATCCAGAACGTCAGTTATATTTGTGAATTATAAGTATGACGTATGTGATTCAGAACGTCGGTTATACTTGTTAATTATATGTATGACTTACGTGATTTAGAATGTCGGGTTTACTTGTGTGTTATAAGTATGACGTACGTGATTCAGAAGTAAGTTATACTTGTGAGCCGTATTTATATACTGTTGAATTATAAGTATAACGTTCCTGATTCAGAACGTCGGTTAATTGTGAATTATATGTATGACGTACTTGATTCAGAACGCCGGTTATACTTGTGAGTTGTAAGTATATACTTGTGGATTATAAGTATGACGTACGTGATTCAGAACGTCAGTTATATTT